AAGGTGGTCAATATAGTGTCAACACAAGGACCTAGAAAGAAAACCAAAGACTATAAAATTAATCAGAAAAAAGCTAGGAAGAACTCTAGAAGTCCTAATCCACAGCATGAATGGTCTTCCAAGCATAATGAAAAACCTACAACTAGGATAGAATAAAATAGATGAATGGGGCCTTCTAAGAATCAACTCCCTATGCACATCAAAAAACTTCTCCAACAGGATAAGAAGGAAACCCATAGACTAGGAAAAATATTTGGCAATGACATAGCTGATAAAGGATTTATACCTCCAGAACCTCAACAAGAAAAATATAAACAATCCAATCACAAAATGGGCACAGGATATGAACAGGCACGTCACCAAAGAGGACATTCAGATGGCAAAGAGACACACGAAGAAATGTTTAAAATCTCTAGCTGTTAGAGAGATATAAATCAAAACAACTATGAGACACCATCTCACCCCATCAAAAACAGCAAAGTTCAACAGGGCAACAAACAACAAATGCTGGCAGGACTGCGGAGAGATTGGAACTCTTATTCATAGCTGGTAAAATGTAAAATAGTACAACCACATGGAAAAGTAGTCTGGCATTTTCTCAGAAAGTTGGAAACAGAAATATCTATTAGTCATCTAACTGTCATCAATTTATGTTCCCATCTCTCTAAATCCCTATAATGATGTCAATAAATATTAAATTTTATTTCTGGATGGTGGGACTTGGGAGGGAGTAATACTTTATTTTCTGAACTTGTAATTTTTATATTGTTTGAACTTTCAATAAAAAGAAAAGAATATCCTTATCTAAAAAAATAAGGCAATGTTTTGAGCCTAATAAGACAATAGCAGTTGTTGTTACCTATTGTTATGACTGTATATTAAGAGCCTTTGTTACTTCAACTCATAGAGACCTTACGTACAACAGAATGAAAAGTTGCCCAACCTTGTGCCATCTTTGCAATCTCTGCTTTGCTTTGTTTCTGCAGTCTGCTTGGGTAGGTATACATTTACTGCCTCTAATTATGGGAGCCAGCCTGGTGCATATTAAAAGAATAGAGAGTATTCATGCAATAATTTACATTATATAGCAGCTGAGATAACAAGGTTCCTCAGCTACAAAAGAGCGACAATAGTTCTCTTTAAAGGCTTTTGGGAGAGGTAAGTGAGCAATCCCATGGTAAAGTATTTGGAAGACTGGAAAACATGGAACAGGCATTCAAGAAATGTTAATTCCCTACTTCCCTTAGTTGAATGGACGGGAAACCCACAACAACAAATCCTTGTAATTCCCGACTTAAAAAAAATCCTTAATTTTTTCTAATTACAGAAGTCACACATCATTTTTTGTTCAATTACATCCATTACTTTTCTTTTTTATTTCCTTAAGGGTCACCTCAATAATTTGGAGAGGTCCCTAACTGCAGATTTTCCCAGTAAAATGCATCTCTTTATTTCTTGACTGCTGGTACTAAGGGTGTTAATGGTGGATCCAAGCAAGATAAAGCTGTTGACAGTTTCAATCTCTTCTCTATCCATCATGATGCTGCCTATTAGTCCAGTGTGAAATTTTTGTTTTCTTGATATTGAGATGCAATCCATATTGAAGGCTACACTCCTTAATCTTCTGCAAAAAGTGCTTCAAGTCTTCTTTACTTTCTGTAAGCAAGGTTGTGTCATCTGTATAATGCAGGTTATTGATGAGTCTCCCTCCAGTGCTGATGCCATATTCCTCTTCAGAGTCCAGCTTCTCAGACAATTTGCTCAGTATACTGATTAAATATGTTTGGGGACAGAATATAACCCTGAAGCTCTCCCTTCTCAATTTTAAACTATGCAGTGTTATCCTGCTCTGTTCACACAACCACCTCTTGGTGCAGGTATAGGTTCTGCATGAGCACAATTAAGTGCTCTGGGATTCCCATTCTTCTCAGTGTCAGCCACAATTTGTTAAGATACACACAGTTAAATGCCTTTGCATAATCAATAAAGCACAAACAGACGTTTTCCTAGTATTTTTTACTTTCAGTCAAGATCCATCTGACATAAACAATGATATTCCTGATGCCATGGATTCTTCTAAATCCCACTTGAACTTCTGCTGGTTCCCTACCTATGTACTGTTCTTCAGCAGTATTTTGTTTGCATGTGATATTAATGATATTGTTAGATAGTTTCCACATTCAGTTGGATCACCTTTCTTGGAAATGGGAACATATATGGACCACTTCCAATCCAATGGCCTAACATTTGTCCTCCAAATTTCTTGGCATAGACTAGTAAGTGCATCCAAGGCTGCATCTGTTAAATGGAACAAGTCAATTGGTATCCCATCGATTCCTCAGGCCTTATTTTTTGCCAATATGTTCAATTCAGTTTTTATTTCCTCATTGATTACCATTGGCTCCTGTTCATATGGTACTTCCTGAAATTTCTCAGTGTCAATCAATTCTTTCAGGTACAGTAATTCTGTGTATTCCCTCCAAGGTCTATTGAATTAGATCTGACTCGCACAGAAGGAGATTGCCCGTCTTTCTCCAGAGTAGCATCTGGTGGATTCAAACGGCAAGCCTTTGGGATTGCAGCATAGCTTCTTGCCACTAGGCCAGTAGAGCTCCCCTCTCTCCAAATTTTTGAGGAGTAATGAAGTCAGGTTTAGGACTAAAGTGCATCTGATTCATACCATGGTCTTTCAAATACTTGCTATGCATCTGAGGGTTGTGTAATGAATAAGGATAGAAGGAAAACAATGTCTTTAAGCCATGGTGTTGGAGATGAGCACTAAACATCCCATGGATGGCAAGAGAATGAATAGATATGTCTTGGAGAGGGTGCAGCTGGAATGCTCTTTGGCAGGAATGATGCGGCTTCTACTCACATACTCTGGGCATGTTGCTAGGAGGGGCTATACCTTGAAGAAAGACATGATGCTGGGAAGGGTGGAGTGTCAGCAAGGGAGGGGAAGACCGTCAACTAGGTGGACTGACATGGTGACTGCCGCAACGGACTCTTGTGTGTCAGGAAGTGTGAACGTGTCACAGGATAGAACAGGGTTCAGATCTTTAATTCATAGGGTCACTATGCATTTTACTAAACTCAATGACACTAAACAACAACAACAACAACAACAAGAAGGGTCGCTCTGTTGGTATTTGAGTGTTTCAGTGCTTTCAATTGAGTTTCCAGTGCTCTTTGGAGGTGAGAATGTTGAGACTTCACCTCACATACTTTGGACATATTGCTAGGAGGTGCTATTCCTTGGAGAGGGACATGATGTTGGGAAAGGTGGAGGATAGGTGAAGGAGAGGAAGACCCTCAACCAGGTAGATTGACATGATGACTGCTGCAATGGGCTTTGGTGTGCCAGGAAGTGTGAGGATGGCGCAGGACAGGACTAGGTTCAGATAATTTCTTCATAGGGTCGCTATGCACTTTACTCGACTCAGTGGCACCTAACAACAACAACAAGGGTCACCCTGCTGGTATTTGAGTGTTTTAGTGCTTTCGAGTTTCCTGACTAATTCTAAGAAACAGGACCTGTCATCCACATTGGAAATAACAGGCCTTTGTAAAGATGGCGGGTAACAGTAGAAAACAAAAAAGATGGTTTTCTTACAGTGTCACTAGAAAGCAACAAACTCAATTCATCCCTATCTAGTAGGAATCAACTCATAGCTGACTCTCCAGTGGATTTTCCGAGGTTGTAAGTTGCTCAAGTGCAGACTGTCCATTTTTCTCCCATATAGCTGCTGGTAGATCTGAACCAGAAGAGAAATGCCGCCTTTGGCTTAGCAGCACAATTCCCTATTGACAATACTCTTAACTCCTGTGTATAATTAGAAATTGAGAGCCTTAGTAAATAAAGTACTGGGAAACATGCATATATATTGCTTAACAGTCAAAGCAATATAGGATAAAATATTATATACAAGCAGTCTACACAAAATCTGTAATTAAATCCCTACAAACCCTATTATGGTAAAATCCCATTAGAGTCGGCCCTTGTCCAAGAGTTCTATCTGCCAGATCCAGGAGGGTAGCCTTGCTTAGTGTACAGCTGGTCTGTCAGGAGTGTGGAGGAGGGGTGTGGGACAAACAAAGTGGGACTGGGCTGGGTTAAGGAGAGCTAAGCGTGTGGTGAAGTGGTGAGGTAGCTTCAGGAACCAGCTGTGTGAGCTCTAGGAGTGTGGCTGGCAGTGTGTGGCCTCACAATATTGCTGAGAAGGCCACTTCCTGATCATGTGCAATGGCTATCACAGGCTCGAGTGAGGAGCCCATGAGTGCTCTGGTTCAGCTAGCACTGCGAGTGCTCCCCGCAGAAGCAGAGAAGTGGCAGCAGTTACTGCCTGCACAGGAATTAGTAGGAGAGGAGGTGCTGTGGGGATTGTAACCCTAGAGGTCCACTGCCTTTTCATCCTGGGGTTTGAGATTTTAAATAATAAGGGAGAAGTAATAAAATGAGCAATGTGTTCTCTTAAAAAGCAAATAAAAAAAAATACCTTATGGGACCACTGATGTGTATATGGTTGGACTCACCTGAACAGATGCTAGGTTGGGCAAACCTGTACTTGTCTTAGAAAGGAGTACACAGTTGTTATTTTAAATAACTGTCATTTCTATTATTACCAGTAAGTATTTATTTAGTATTTATCTACATTTAGGGCTGAAAGACCATTATTTAGAACTATTCCACATTTTTATTGAAAATAAAACGAATAGATATTATAACTTTAATATCTAGACTTTTCAAGGTGTCAATTAAGAATAATAGTAGGTGCAATTGTTATTACTGGACCAGAAAAAGAAAGATAATCGCTTATGGTGAAATACTACGAAACATATACAGCTAAATATAAGCTATGGTTAAATACTGTGCAAAAAAATTTGACATTTATTATTAAGGCATTTGCCCTTAGATACAAATACTTTTAAAGAACAAAGATAAAGCTACATTCTGTTAATTTTTTAAATAAAATTTGCTGTTATATAGGCCATAGACTTACCAAGGCTCTACTTTAAGAGATGAAGATAATTTTTCTGGAAGAAAAAATCGATGCCATTTTGAAGCTTCAATCAATTCTTTGGATATTCTTTTTGAAACGTCATAATAGTGACCAAATCTTGAAGATGATACAGGTACAGCCTGTTAAGAAAATTCATATTTTTTTAAAAATATATATAT